AATCTTTATCTTGAATTTTATAATCATTTTGTATGATGAATAATGTTGGACAATAAAAGCATTAAAGAAGTTATTAGGCACACAAATATTGCATATTTAAACGAATGTGAAAGATATTATGATAAACAATTCTAAAATCATTGCAACAACAATGATGGTCAATAATTTTCAAATAATAGATTATATTGTTCGTCTATATTCCAAATAAACAACAATGTCGGAGTATCAAAACAATTTTGAATGTTCGAATGAAGTTGTCACTATTTATAGAAATATTTATAATCTCATCGGTATATTGTACTCGAACATATGTGCAATTATTTTAGAGGTACTTTCAAGTAATGTATGATGATTTCAAAAAATAATTTAGTAACTCGGGAGAAGTACATGTAACCAAAATTTTGGAAACATGTAACCAGAATTTTGGAAAGTCAACTTTTATTTGGAAATAAAATTCATTCCCACCTCGTGGGGCAATGCATCAATGGGGTAGGCACCAATATATCTAGAGACAGAGGAATGTATTAGCTTATACAATGATAAAAAAATACCAGCAATTTCAATGACATAGTTAGTTATTTTATAGAGATATTTATGCATTGTTAGTAGAAGTACCTTAGTATAAAGATTATACTATCATGAAGTTTGATTATATGTTGGGTCAGAATGTTTCTTAAGTATTTAAATAAAATTAACGTTTTGCCAAATGGATTAAGAGAAATTTTGCAATAGTATTCAATTACTGCTTGAAAAAAAACCCTATAATGGTGGTACCATATATGTATTTAGTGATTATGAAAATGACTTAGTTAAATTTTATCAGACATTCGAAAAAATTGTAAACTTTTTAATCTAATAATTCGTATAAAAAGTACACTTTTATCAAATATATTAAATTTACATTATATCTTATGTGATTATAGTAGTTGCAGCCTAATAAAAAAGATAATTTGAAAAAATCATTATATAAAACACATACAAAAAATAACGCAATACATATAAATGTGCTTTAATTATTTAGCAAATAAAATATTATTTGTCTATAGAATAAGAAACAAATAATATAATAGTAACACAATGAGAAAAAGAATACTTGTGAATTTTCTTAGAGAAGTATGAATATCAATATTTACGAACAAAAAGTCTTTGAAAACCACTACTTTTTTATTGCTAGCGTTTAAATATAGGGACTCTGTAAGAAATTGGTTTTCATAAATAATGATCCTATATTATTTATTTTTAATTTTAAATAATTAAAAAATCTAAAAATTTGTTATACATAATGTATATTTTAATCATGACTCCATAATAATAAACTTTGCAGATGACTAAGAGTATCATAATATAATATAATTCTAACTCTTCTCTTATCAAATATTTTAACAAATGATATGCTTCTCAATATTTTCTCATTGTTTTGATTGTTTTGTTTTGTCATTGTTGGAGAATAAAGAACTGATCTTTATCTTGAATTTTATAATCATTTTGTATGATGAATAATGTTGGACAATAAAAGCATTAAAGAAGTTATTAGGCACACAAATATTGCATATTTAAACGAATGTGAAAGATATTATGATAAAAAATTCTAAAATCATTGCAACAACCATGATGGTCAATAATTTTCAAATAATAGATTATATTGTTCGTCTATATTCCAAATAAACAACAATGTCGAAGTATCAAAACAATTTTGAATGTTCGAATGAAGTTGTCACTTTTTATAGAAATATTTTTATAATCTCATTGGTATATTGTACTCAAACATATGTGCAATTACTTTAGAGGTACTTTCAAGTAATGTATGATGATTTCAAAAAATAATTTAGTACCTCGGGAGAAGTACATGTAACCAAAATTTTGGAAACATGTAACCAAAATTTTGGAAAGTCAACTTTTATTTGGAGATAAAATTCATTCCCACCTCGTGGGGCGATGCATTAATGGGGTAGGCACCAATATGTCTAGAGACAGAGGAATGTAGTAGTTTATACAATGATAAAAAAATACCAGCAATTTTAATGTCATAGTTAGTTATTTTATAGAGATATTTATGCATTGTTAGTAGAAGTACCTTATTATAAAGATTATACGATCATGAAGTTTGACTATATGTTGGGTCAGAAATTTTGCAATAGTATTGACGTATTAGACTTCAGCGAGTATGAATGTTTCTTATAAGAAAGATGAAAGAAAATTTTAGTGGTTTTTGTATTAAGGATTTGTTTTTTATATATTTTAGTTGGAGGTTGTAAAACATTATTTCACTCTTTTTATATTAGGGCATCATTACGCTAATTCTAAATAAAAAAAAATTACATATAAATTCATTTGTTCTATATTTTATTTGATTCCTGCAATGATATGTTTAATAAATAAATTAATTTATTTTATAAACTTACTCGGCAAAAATCATTCGATACCACGTGCATCGCACGTGCACTTTACTAGTATATAAAAAAATCAGTATGAAGTTTTATAATTTCTTTCGTCGATCCTAAGAGTGTTTTGGTCTTAATAATCGAAATGATGATTAACTTTTTGACTTAGAATCATGATATGATATTAAGTAGACTACCACTATGTACACAAAAGAATCCAAATTTATATGTTCACTCAAATTTTATACCATATTTTTCCAACTCTCAATTTTATGTATGAAACGGACTAACGGTTAGGCAACCCGACTAGTAATAATATTTAGAACAAAGATAAATACTTTCATTTATGTTATTGCTTTTAAAACATGATTGAACATATACATATTTATTAAAAAAAAAAAAGACATGAATATATAACCGGCTGTTCATCCTCAGTGTTTTTCCAAATATTATTCCAGTTCAGAAACGGTTTCTGATTCCATTTACTATTTCTTACCGAACTCAGTTCCATTTGGCGCCAAAGTGCATAAGTTGTATCAAGCGAAACATGTGGACATGCAGATTGGATATGTTTTTTGATGGGAACAAATATATAAATGAATAAAATAAAGAAAACAAAGCTCTTATTCTTATCCTTTTGAAATACCGTTGAGTGATTGTTCCCAATTTCTTATCCTTTGGACAGTTTCGAGTTGGATAATAATGCCAACTAATATTGTGTTTTCTGCAACTTGGTATCCTTCGCTTTCGCTTTTGCAATGAACATAACACAACTTATTTTTATTTCAATTTTTTTTTTTTTTTTTGTTTTTTTTTTTGGGTTAACAAAATATCCATCATTTGATGAGTGAATGGTGTGGCTTAGGCATGGGGCGATTCCTGAGTTCCTATCAAGCCTTTGATTTCGATCAACTCTACTCACAACAGTCATCAAATCAAAAGCTGAATCCTTCTTTTCTTTCTTTTCCCAATAGCATTCAATCAATGGCCGGCCAACTGTGGACCCGTTTATGGACCCGATTGGGATTAATGTAAGTCATACGATGTGCAAACAGTATAAGAACTCCCGATAAGGAAAACGATCCATGTACGTACAAGCGTCTGGCCACGCTGGCCACGGAATCTTGAATTGAAATTGATTTTGCCCTCATATATTATGACCACAAGCAAGACCCATTTTATCTTTGCCGATTATACGTTACAATTTATGTAAGAGAAAAAAAAAAGAAAAAAAAAAAGATGAAACTTGCAGAAAAAATAAAATAAAATAAACAATCATGCATTTCAAGAACACAATCTGACATGTTTGATTTCATGTAACAATGGATTCTACGAACTGTAGATATGACCAGAGTAATGATGAATTTAGTCTACTTACTACAAAAGACAAGGAAAAAGAAAAAGATCCATATTTCATACCAACGTTACAAATACTTTCTTGTCCATTTGAGGTTGTACATATTCACCCCTTTTATGAAACAAAAACCAGAGTAACTGAGATACATGTAACTTTGCAACATCATTACATACTGAATGCCACTTCTCTCAAACCAACCACCAATTTTAATCATTCTGGCAATCCAATCATCCCCCTAACAACAAAGTGTTCAACAAGTGCATCATCATCTGATCATCTGATCCAATACACCACNTAACGGGCCCCATCTCCCTCGCCCGCGCCCGCAACAAATGCTTCTGTATTTTCCCAGTCGCCGTCTTCGGCAGCTCCCCAAACACAACCGACTTCGGCACCCAATACCCCGGCATCCTCGACTTCGCAAACCTCAATATATCCTCGTCACTCGCATCAACCCCGGGCTTCAACGTCACAAATGCACATGGCGACTCTCCCCACCGCTCGTCCGGCCGCGCCACAACCGACACCTCCAAAATCCCCGAATGCCCATACAAAACATTCTCCACCTCCACACTACTTATATTCTCCCCACCCGATATAATAATATCCTTCGACCGATCCTTAATCTCGATGTACCCGTCCGGATGCTTCACCCCCAAATCCCCCGAGTGAAACCACCCGCCCGCAAACGCCTCTTCGTTGGCCTTCGGATTTTTTAAGTACCCTTTCATGACGACATTGCCCCTGAACACGACCTCGCCCACGGTTTTCCCGTCGGGAGGGACAGGTGTCGCGTCCTGAGTGGTGGACACGACGTCGAGGCATTCGAGGGAGACGTAGCGGACGCCCTGGCGGGAGTTGAGGCGGGCGCGGGTGGACGGGGGGAGGGAGTCCCATTCGGGCTTCCACGCGCAGACGGTGGAGGGGCCGTAGGTCTCGGAGAGGCCGTATGTGTGGGTGACGCGGAAGCCGAGGTCGGACATGGCGAGGAGGATTTGGGGAGGAGGGGCGGCGCCGGCGGTCATGACGTGGACGGGGGANGGCGTTGACGAGGGTGTTCAGGACGACGGGGGCCGCGCAGAAGTGCGTCACGCCGAGGGTCGAGATGGCTGAGTAGACACCTTTAGCCGTGACCTGAAAATTTTAAGCGGATATTTTGTGAGGTTGAATTGCATGAGGCAGCTATTTTACAAGCCAGCATTTTTATATGTGTGTAAGCATAAAGATGGGTTCAGCTTGTGGCTCAAGTGGTGCAGCAAGCTCTTTATGTAAGGATAATGTATTGTATTGGATGATACAGGGTTTGGTGCCTATATCTCTCAGTTTCTAAGGATTTTAGTATTTTCCTATAACTGATAAGAAAATTTAAAAAAAAAAAAAGTATAGATGGGTTGAGGTAAATCTGAAAATCAACAGATAGTAGGACATTAGAAGCTATCTTAGGAGCGTGGGAGAAACTTCTGTGTTTAGAGGATGTGAGCTATAGCATCTGCAGGGAAAGGTAGTTAAGAATTAGAAATTTGTAGTGCTCTAAAATAGGGGATACAAGGTGGTTTAGCTTAAAAGTTAAAAGAGAGGGTTCAAAAGTTTCAGAAGATTTTTTATTTTTTTTTCTTTTCTCTTTCATTTTTCGGGTGTGAGAGTCGAAATAAAGCAATATTAGATGAGGTAAAGTCCTCCACCCCTGCTGCCTTAAGATGCTCATTAATTTATGGACAACCGCAAGCATAAATAAACATCTGAAAACACCCCCTTAGCTAACTAGTGTGCACGCTTAGCAACAGAGAGTTGAAAGCTTCACATTTACTCTCAATCATCAGATAACAAAGGCACCTTCATCACTTGACCAACACTAATAACATTGCATATCATCAAACTGACTCAAGAACTCCAAATACTTTTTTTCCAACTTCTCTAGTATAAACCATTTAAGATAAGGCGAAACACAAAATGTCCGAGACTCGGATTGCCTAGACGACACACAAATTCCAAAACAAATATTGACATCAAAACCGTACCTGCCTAAGGCACACGCTCGTCCCACAAAGCGCCGCCAGCGTCCAGGTGAAGCACCACCCATTGCAATGAAACATCGGCAGAGTCCACAAATAAACGGCCCCTTCTCCCATTCCCCACACAACCGCATTACTGAGTGCCATGAGATACGCTCCCCTGTGGTGCAGGACCACCCCTTTTGGGCTAGCCGTCGTGCCAGATGTGTACCCCAGCGTGATACTCTGCCACTCGTCTTGCGGGGCCCTCCAAGCAAATTCCGGGTCGCCAGTTTCTAGAAACTTCTCGTACTCGATGGCTCCTTTGCTGAGCGCGTGGCGGAGGGGCTCCGGGTCACAGGCTTCGTCCGCAATGACTATCAGAATTGGAGGGGCGTATTCGGATTTTTCTGAGCTGGCCATGATTTTGAGAGCTTCCTCTGCTAAAGAGTAGAATTCTTGATCGACCATGATGACTGAGGACTGGGAGTGTCCCAGGAGAAAAGCGATTGTTTGGGCATTTAGTCGGACATTGACAGCATTTAGGACAGCGCCTGACATTGGGACCCCGAAATGAGCTTCGTACATGGCTGGGACGTTCGGTGCAATCACTGAGACCTGAAAATTACGAAGGAAATAAAAACAAAGGAAGAAAAGAAAACAACGTGAACTGGGGATCTTACTCTCACTTAAGTGTAGAGTATTCACTCCCAGATACTCACCATCAAGCAGCATATTTTACAATCAATGAAATTATACTAATTATTTTCAGAGAAGTGTTATCTTTTGGGCTCAAAGTGTATGTTACTAGCCTTTTTCCATTGGAATAATGATAACAATGGCCAATTTGAATTTCTACCAACAAATTGGGAAGGCCTAAAATTCCAAACTTTCTCTTGATTTTCCTTAAAAACTTGTTGGGGAACGGGGCAAGGTTATTTGTTACTAGAAAGTATACCTGATTAATTAACTATTTCATTAATTCTCATATTATGTTTAGTTAAGCAAAGATACATCTGTCTTTTAATTTTTAGTCCTTCCTCAATTAATTTTTCCACCCTATTAGAACAAGCACAGCAAGTTGATTGTCATAAAAATTCTCACCGAAGTTGCATTTATATATGACTGAAACATGTCATATCTATATTAAGCAAGACTTGTGCTGTTAAGTGTTAGCTTCAAATTATCTCATTCAATTTATTACTACATATTGCTGGATAGGAAATATGTGTCATTCAATTTCTTATCCAAATTAAAAAACACTCATTATAGCCACTCAAATCAGTTCTCCTTCCTTTACATGCCTCTTGATGTTGATTTATATCGCCACCCAAAATAAATAGATCTATGTGTGTGGCTGTGGAAATTCATAAAAAAAACGAAAATTCTTAAAACATTACCATGTTTAAATGGATTATAGTCTTCAAAATGCTTGTGCAAGAAACATCAGATTAATACAATAGGATTTCCAAATTTCAAAATTCAGTAGCCAGCTGAGAAAAATAAATTTATCCTCACTTTTTCCCTAATGTCAACCGTAGCAAATTCCAGGACATTATCCGACCTTTCAAAACCCACAAAGGTAAATTAAACTAGTAATCGAATTTCAACTACTTCGACTTATACCAGCAAACTCCACGAACCAAATAATTAAATAGAAAATGATAACGCCGACACTCACGGTGTTACCGAAGGTGACGCCGCGCTTGGTGAGGGCGGAGGCGAGCTGGCGGCACCGGCGGTAGGTCTGGTGCCACGTGTAGGAGACGGAGCCATGGACGACGGATTTACGGGTCGGGTGGACGAGGGCGGCTCGCTCCAGGAACCCGAGAGGCGTCAACGCCGTATAGTTAGCTGGGTTCTTCGGCAGATCATCTATGTCTCGCTCTGCAATGCCCATCTGCGCGTTTTCTTGTGGTGTGATAGTGCGTGAGAGAGAAAGAGAGACACGAATGCTTTTTTTTGTGTGTGTGTGATAGAACTTAGAAGATGCGTGAGTGACCCGTTCGTTGGTTATACTTTATAATATGAAGAAAAACAGTGTAATATTTCTACATTGATAGAACTTAGAAGATGCGTGACCCGTTCGTTGTTTATAATAATAGTATTAACTAGTATTCGATTCTGTACATTTGTATGTTTTTGTTTGTTTTTATTAATTAGACATGCGCACAGAATAGAATATAATGATAAAAAAAATATAAGACTATACTTAATTACAATAATTGTAACGATTTTCTACCATAAGTCTCTAAAACATGTGTAGAAAACGTTACTAAATGAAGTTCAATAAAATAAAAGAAAAAAATTGAATTGATGATGAAAACTTTGTAACGTCTTTTGGCGGGAAAATAAAAATACTTTTATTAATTGTTCTCATATATATATAAGAAAATGCTCCCCTACCCATAGTGGGCACAAATTAATTTACCCACCACTTATGTCACATGTATGGGGCATGTACACATCACCAAGCATATGCCACATACGTGGTGGGTAAATTAATTTGTGCCCACTGTGGGTAGGGGAGTATTTTCTTATATATATATGAGAACAATTAATAAAAGTATTTTTATTTTCCCGCCAAAAGACGTTACAAAGTTTTCATCATCAATTCAATTTTTTTCTTTTATTTTATTGAACTTCATTTAGTAACGTTTTCTACACATGTTTTAGAGACTTATGGTAGAAAATCGTTACAATTATTGTAATTAAGTATAGTCTTATATTTTTTTTATCATTATATTCTATTCTGTGCGCATGTCTAATTAATAAAAACAAACAAAAACATACAAATGTACAGAATCGAATACTAGTTAATACTATTATTATAAACAACGAACGGGTCACGCATCTTCTAAGTTCTATCAATGTAGAAATATTACACTGTTTTTCTTCATATTATAAAGTATAACCAACGAACGGGTCACTCACGCATCTTCTAAGTTCTATCACACACACACAAAAAAAAGCATTCGTGTCTCTCTTTCTCTCTCACGCACTATCACACCACAAGAAAACGCGCAGATGGGCATTGCAGAGCGAGACATAGATGATCTGCCGAAGAACCCAGCTAACTATACGGCGTTGACGCCTCTCGGGTTCCTGGAGCGAGCCGCCCTCGTCCACCCGACCCGTAAATCCGTCGTCCATGGCTCCGTCTCCTACACGTGGCACCAGACCTACCGCCGGTGCCGCCAGCTCGCCTCCGCCCTCACCAAGCGCGGCGTCACCTTCGGTAACACCGTGAGTGTCGGCGTTATCATTTTCTATTTAATTATTTGGTTCGTGGAGTTTGCTGGTATAAGTCGAAGTAGTTGAAATTCGATTACTAGTTTAATTTACCTTTGTGGGTTTTGAAAGGTCGGATAATGTCCTGGAATTTGCTACGGTTGACATTAGGGAAAAAGTGAGGATAAATTTATTTTTCTCAGCTGGCTACTGAATTTTGAAATTTGGAAATCCTATTGTATTAATCTGATGTTTCTTGCACAAGCATTTTGAAGACTATAATCCATTTAAACATGGTAATGTTTTAAGAATTTTCGTTTTTTTTATGAATTTCCACAGCCACACACATAGATCTATTTATTTTGGGTGGCGATATAAATCAACATCAAGAGGCATGTAAAGGAAGGAGAACTGATTTGAGTGGCTATAATGAGTGTTTTTTAATTTGGATAAGAAATTGAATGACACATATTTCCTATCCAGCAATATGTAGTAATAAATTGAATGAGATAATTTGAAGCTAACACTTAACAGCACAAGTCTTGCTTAATATAGATATGACATGTTTCAGTCATATATAAATGCAACTTCGGTGAGAATTTTTATGACAATCAACTTGCTGTGCTTGTTCTAATAGGGTGGAAAAATTAATTGAGGAAGGACTAAAAATTAAAAGACAGATGTATCTTTGCTTAACTAAACATAATATGAGAATTAATGAAATANAAAAAAAAAAAATCAATCTCTTTGCCTACATTATTTAAGTTACGGCTTAAATTTTCAAAATATTTGTTTATTGTTCAATTTATATTCATCCCCAATTTACACAATTTTTTCATATCTATTAAAAAACATACTAACATGACTATTGTATGGTATATTAACCTTTTTTTTATTTGTAAGAAAATTTATAGTTTTTGTTGTTTTTCAATTTAGTTTAACAAGTAAACTTAAGTTTTATTTATAAAACTTAGATAAAACTATTTGTATTATATATATATATAATATGGATGACAAATCAATGATCGTTAAAAGATGACTAATTTGATATGAATATCAAATATAAAAAATTAAATTCAAATAAAACGATATGTTTTAGAAAATAAGATATATACACATAGTAATTAATAGGTAAATTAAGTATGAAAAGGAAATAAAATATATGGTAATTGAATAAAATGTAAGATGAAATATTTTATGATAACATAAAATCCTATGTATATGGCAATATATGAAGCACGATTTTTCACAAAATACATATATGGAATGAGCGAGTCTGTCATTAGACACATATGTAATACACGGCCAATCACCCATACGAACCAGATCATGGCCCAAATTTCAGTTCCAAAAACTGCAATACATGCCTAACTGATTTTGCATACCGATTTTCATCTGCAACACATCCAACCGGCCTTCGACTCGAGAAGACGGGCCCGACACAAAATTGGGGCTCCATTATTTGCATACCCATTTTTATCACTTTATTTAGGCACATTACATAATGGTGATGCTCAAGACACGTGTAAAATAAATTTGAAAAGTCTTTAACACATATGAATATGCTACTATGAATCTAATGATCTATGTACGTTGGTGAGATTTTTAAACTGCTCAAAATGCACCTTATATTTCCTCGTACAATAGAAGTCAGTCTTACCACATATGAAAGCACACCGATAAGACACATGTGGTGATCAATTACAGGCACATTTAACGTGAAATAAGCCTTCAGACGAGCTGTATATAATGGGAACTCATTTTCCTCCGTCGAACAGATTATGGGTACAGAAAGGGACCATTGAAATTAAATGCGACTTTGTTCAAATCCGCACCTATTTTAGTAAAGGGTGTTACTATTCACCGCCCCCCATATTACTAGTCATCGCCCCCCTTGGACAATTTTGCCCTTCTCATTTTTTCTAAACATCTCAGAGGAAAGTGTACGGTGAAATGTCGTCAAATTCGGAGGTACGAAAAAATACGTGTACGGTCGCCGGTTCCGGACGGGCTAAAAGCCGTCCGGACCGGCCGGCCGGACGACAAGTAAACCGGCCGGAAAGCACGGCCGGACGGACCGTTGCTGTCCGAACCGGCCGGCCGGACGGCAAGAAAGCCGTCCGGAAACGACGGCCGGTCGGAACCGGTCCGTCCGGTTCGGCCGGCCGGCCGGAATTTTTTTTTTTTTTTTTTTTTTTTTAAATTGTTATGTTATTTATTCGAAATAGTTATGTTATAAATTGGACTATATTATTATGTTAGAAATTTATTATGTTACATTTTAGACTTCATTATGCTATTAATTGGACGTTTATCGTGTTAGGAGTTACAAATTATTATGTTACATGTTGATTATAATATAAATTGGACGTTTAGATATTATCGTGTTACGAGTTAGAAATTATTACATTATATATTAGTTTTAATTATGTTATAAATTGACGTTTACATATTATTGTGATCGTGTTAGGAGTTACAAATTATATTAATTGAACGTTAGATAATATCATGTTACGAGTTACAAATTATTATGTTACATCCTAGAATTAATTATCTTAATTTAACATGTTCTAAAAATAGTACTATATAGCAGGAGTCATGGGAAGATTTTGGAGGAGATGGTGTTGATTACAGTGTGCGTTTCGATACATCTTCATTCTATAGTAGTGCTCAGGAGGCTATTGAAGCTGCAAAACACCAGGCAATGCTGAATGGTTTCCAATTAATTATTTCGAGCCACAAAAAGAAAACGGTCAGAGTTTTGAAGTGCCATAGAGGCGAACGGTACAGAGGCACAGGCGGAAATTCTAGAAGGACAAAAACGAATAAGTGCGGCTGCAATTTTGAGATCAAAGTAAAAAAGGTGTCCGGCGTTCCATACTGGAGGATCTGTAGATGTAGCAATGAAGAGAAAGGCTACCATAACCATGCATTTGCTGTGTATCCTGAGGGTCATAGCCAGTTGAGCGGTCTCAGCGCTTCATCTAAGAGAATTGTTCGTGAAATGACGGACGCTCAGGTGGCCCCGAAAAAAATTATGGCCGCGCTGAAGGAAAAGAATCCGGGAGACAACGTTCATGTGCGGCAGGTATATATATTTATATCTTGTAATATATGTTTTAATTAAATTTTTTAAGTTAATTATGATAATTAGTAATTTTTTATATGTAAAAGTTATTGTAATAATTAATAAATTTTATTATATTTACTAATGTATTATTATTGTGATAGTTAATAATTTTTTTATCAAATTAATCGCATTAATATACTTTTTTATTTATTAATATAATAAAATTTTTGTTTTAAATTATAATAATCATTATAATTAACGCTAATCGGTGACAGGTATATAACTTTAGAGATAAGCTGCGGAGAGAGGGTTCCGACGGTAGAGACGTTCCTACTCAGCTTATGCATTTGGCCGTGAGCAGCCAGTATACAGTTTATGTAGAATCCGATCCGAACACGAAAGTGCTGACGCATATATTCATGGCCCATCCTGCGTCGATCAATCTATTCCGGACATATCACTGGTATGTCGGTATAGATTCCACGTATAAAACCAACAGGTATGTTACTTTATAAATACTTTATTAGTATGAATCTTAAATAGTGTGTTTGATTAAGTTAAGTTTTATGTGCTTATATTTTTTTTCTTCTTGGTTACATTTGCACAGGTACAAGATGCCGTTCGTCGAGATGATTGGGATGACGCCGTGCAACCAGAACTTCCTGATTGCGTATGCCCTCATCAGGGACGAGAAAGAGACCAGCTACGACTGGGTTCTAGAGAAGTTGAGACTACTGATAGGCCAAAGCGTATATCCTTATGTTGTTGTCAGTGACAGA